ACCAAGAAGCACCATGGACAAGATTTCTGTAGCCCAGCAGGTCCCTGAAAATTGCCAAGAACAATATCAGGAATGTATTTGGCCTTTATCGATTTAACCAAAATCTTCAACTCCATTAACCATGAGGATCTATGGAAGAACTTATTGAAGTTCGGCTGCCCAGGAAAATTTATCACCATCCTAAGAGACCTTCATGACCAAATGATCACCTCCAACCTATGCAGTGGCTCGGCTACAGAGCCCTTTGCCATTCAAACTGGCATCAAGCGGGGTTGTGTGAATGCATCAATTCCATTTTCCATCTTTCTTGCAGTCATCAAACCGCTTATCCACATGGCATTGGCACCGAACACAGGATGGATGGGATCCTTTTCAACCTCTCCTGCATCCATGCCAAAACTAGACTTACATCAGCCTCAACTGTGGAACGTCAGTTCACTGATGACTGTGCTGTCATTACACATATTGAGGAGTACCTACAAACAGCCCTTAACTGCTTCCCTCAAGCATACCGGTGCCTAGGACTGACCCTTAACACTGCAAAAACAAAGGTGCTTCACCAACCTGCTCTGTGCCAATTAGCAACCCAGGCAAATATCCTCACTGATGGAGGGGAGCTGGAGAATGTCAAATACTTTGCATACCTCAGCAGCCATCTCTCAAAGAAGGCCAACATTGACAAGGAGATCCAGTATAGGATCTGACGTAACAACTTTGCCTTTGGAAGACTGAATCATTGTATGTTCAACAATCACAACATCAGGACTCGAACAAAACTCCTACTGTGTAAGGCTACAGTAATCTCAACTCTTCTCTACAGCTGTGAAGCTTGGTTGACCTACAGGGACCGTGTGAAAAGCCAAGAACACCATCACCAGCACAAACTGTAGAAGTTCCTTTGCATAAAGTGGAAGGATTATCATACACATTCCAGTGGCCTCACCAATGCTCACACCATCAGTATGGAAGCATTGATCATTCAACATCAGCTGCAGCAGACAGGGCAATGTTTGTGCAAGCCAGATGTACATTTACCAAAATAACTGCATCGCCTTGTGAGGGATAGTTTACTTTCAGGAAAAGTCTCACCCTGGAGGCAGAAAAATGTCAGAAACTGAAGGAAAGAAAACAAAACTGTGGTCATATCCTTCCTTTAACCACAGCCTGTGGCATCTGCCAGACAGTCTGTGGCGCTAGGACCAGCCTTCTGAGTCATCAACAGATTCATCTGCAAGCTTTAATTTGACCCATGGGAGTGGTCATCCTCGACTGCAGTGGATCACTGACAATGACCCAAAGCAAGCCAATTTCATGGGCAGATTGTGGGACCAGCCGCCATTTTCGCAAGTGTATTATGGTGAGCACCCCCGCCACACACATGCACACACCTGATTGGCCAAGGGCCCCCACTGGCCCCACCCCTCACCATTGATTGGTCAAGAGGCTGGCCATCATGTGGCCCTGCCCCTTGCCAGACTGGCTGAGGGCTGCCTGTCACACAGTCCCACCCCTCACCACTGATTGGTGGAGAGGGGCAGGGCTGCACAACAGGCAACCCTTGGCCAATCAGCAGTGGCCACCTTCTTGCCTGTTCCCCTTTGCGCCAGCACCCCCCCCCCCAGCTGCACAGCCAGGCCGCATTTGCCATAAGGACCGCTGGTTCACACTGGGTAGCCAGCACGGATTTCAATTTTGCAATTTCTGTGAAATTCACAAAATTGTAAACTGAGTAGGTCCCTACTTCTTACTAAACAAATATTAAATAAGAAAAAAAAACAAAAAAGGAGAAAAAGCAACTTATGAGGTGGGGACAGAAAAACAGTTAACTTCCACGAAGAAACTGCCTTTCTTACATTGTTTGTAATGGCACATTTGGGATGCACAGGCCCTACCATAATGCCAATAAGGACGATACACTGATTTGCCACAGTGAAGACAATCCAGCAGCCCTACTCTCTTAAACTATGGAAAAAGCAAAGGCTATCAATACACTCAAGGCATATTTAAAATCTTTCAATCCCAACAGCCTCAGGACTCTGAATCTTTGCCCCCCCCCCCCAATTTTTTACCCCATTCACTCTCAACATTGGCACTATGGGACAGAAGCTAGTAATTTTAAACCCATCTGCATTTTCTGCCTCTGCGGCACTGGATTTTCAGACTAGACAGCTTTACTTCCAACTGCCACAGCTTCACCCTAAATAAGACATGGCAGATACAAAACCATCAGGAAGGATTTATTTTTTGGCTAATTTCCTCCCCTTGAACTTTTCCATATTTATCTTTCTTTTATCTTAATAGATAAAATACTATTATTGTGACGCTATAATCAAATGTCTTAATTACTCCACAGTAAGGCTTCAAGCCAAACACCAAATGATCCAGATACTTCTGGTGAAACAGATCCTACCATCTTATAGCCCGTATTAGAACTGAAGGCTGTTTAATGTTGGGCTGCAATGTTCTTACATGGGCCATAAATGGACCCAGATTTTTCTCTGATGACAACTTGGAAGTTTCTGTCCTGGGGTTTGAAAAGGAATGCGTGGCGCTCTCCCAGAGAAATTAAAACCAAACAAAAATTTACTTGAAATTGAACCAGCATGAAGAGAAGCATCAGACAATCCAATACACAAGCTTGCACAGGTGACCACACAGACAGATGCCACTGGATACCGACTGGAGATCACCCATTCTACTAGCACTGTTGGATTTTGGCTGTTCCCCAGGCTTACTTCAAAGGACCTGCCAGTCAAAACCAGTGGTCCAAAAACTCTTCAAAAGGAAGAAAACTACTGTAAAAAGCAAATTAATAGCAACTAATTCATTTCTCAGCTTCAAAAGAAGGGTTCTTACCATGTATACATGTCTTTTTATGCAACTGAATTATGTACAATGTCATAAAGGCATATCTGAAAAGACAACTGGGTACTTGCCTGTCATCCAGCTCTATTCTCTTCATACTATGAAGATGCAAGACAGCTAATATTATTGCCACCAGGAATATAACAGCACAGCAAACCCCGACACTGATATAAAACACACGGGTAGATGTGGTGGGAGCTGCATTTACAGGATCAACTGAAAGAGAAGGACAAAACATCACTGAGAAAGACTTCTAAAAAGAAGACAAATTACATGCCTGACAAACAAGTTCAAAGGATTAAGCAAAGAATGTGACTGCATTTTTACTACAATGTATCATAGCCCGAAAGAACAGGACCAAAGAAGTGACTCGAGTCATTTCAACTTTAATTAATTTTTAAATATGTGTCTATGTTTTGTCAGGAGAGGTCAGTATAGCACACAGCAAGCAGGCTCAGGAAAGCAACCACAGCATTTTAACAAGGGAAACATGCCCTAAACCAGGTGTGTCAAATTCAACTTATGCCCAGGGCTGGATCTGGACTGTGGGACTCCTTAAGCTCAGCCCAAGGCATTTTTGGGGGGGGGACACGACACGACACGACACGACACGACACGACACGACACGACACGACACGACACGACACGACACGACACGACACGACACTTCTGGCATGGGGGACATGGCACAGCTCTGATTCCCACTGCATGCCCCAGGCTAGAACCAGAGCTGACATTGCCACCATTTGCCCTGTGCTAGAGGCAGCTCTAGATCCAGCATGGGAAACACAGCACATGGTGGCAGAGCTGGAGGACAAGGAGCTAGAGCCATGAAAGTGGTGATGGGCAATGTAGACAGAAGGCAACCAGGGCTGTATCAGCACCCATTTGCTCTCCCGCTGCCAACAATCATGTCCACCAGGGCCCAACAGCCATGCATTCAGCAGCAGGCCATACTTCCCTGAGCCCCCCTTTCAACTTCCAGTGGCCCTGTGGTATGTCAGCAGGCTGGACAGAGCAGCTCTACTTCCGGCACCCC